AAAGGTATAAAAGCAAGAATTGATATGGTGAAAAATACCCTTAATTTCGTAGTTTTATTAGCCCATTTGAAATTTTGAGAAATCGCAGCCAAAAGTTAGAACCTCCGTTTTACTGGAGTTTACTGGGCATGTTCCAAGGTGCCCCACATGTGGCATTAAAAGCTTTATATCTTTGCTTCTTCATTCAAAACAAATGAGGTATTTTTTTTAAATTAAGGGGACCCCCCCCCATTCTCGGGGTCAAAATTTTTGTTGATATAATTCGAATCTACACTGATTAAAGAATGTCTCTACAAAATTTCAAGTGAAAATCTCAAGAACTGTTGAAGATATATCCGATTTAGTGTGTCAGCATCAAGTGACGGCTAAAGGGTTTCTCAAACTTTAAACGCGTTTTTCTCTAAACATTTTTTGCGAATGGCGGGCACGATAACTCAAAAACTAATAATCCAATCGGTTCCAAATTTTGCATCGAACTAGGATAAAGCCAATCGGTGAAGATCTTCCTTATTTTTTAATTTGGTTTTTGGTCAAAAATCGGCGATTTTCCAAATATATTTTTTCAAAGGTCCACCATTTTGTTAATTTTAGAGCGAAGTCAATAATCCTAGTTCATACGAGAGCCAGACATGTACTCTTTCTAACACCGTTGGAATTTTCGGATTCCGATGTTCCAGTGAGGAGTTATCATGCCCGCCATCAAAAATAAGGACTTTTCTTTAATTACAAAAAAACAACAACAAAACAATAACAAAAATTTTTTGTAAATTATTTTTCTTCTTTTTTAAACCTTCAATTATATATGTGCAAAGTTACAAACCTTAACAAGCATTGGTATTGATTTACCAGCCCATTGAAAATCTTAAAAAATTCAAATCGAGAATGGGGGGGAGTTCCCTTAATGGGAATTTTCAATTTTCTTTTGAAATTTAAAAAAAAAATTGCGAACACATTCGTGATTTTTGGTACATAGGTTATATGCTCACAAACGTTATAGTGGTTTTAAATCTTGTATTTCAAATAATTCGCGAATCTCTTCACAAATAGTTAAACGCATTTCATTTCAAGTATAACGTAAGTAAATTTTATACCCTTCACCACGCCATGGTACAGGGTATTATGTATGTCTTTGTGCATATGTTTGTAATTGGCAAAAGGAATCGAGATAGACCCATGGTCCCTTTTGAGGATATGCATAGAATCACTTTCTGAGTCGATTTACGCATGTCCGTCTGTCCGTCCGTCCGTCTGTCCGTCCGCCGTCTGTCCGTCCATGTATTTTTTTAACAAAGTCGCATTTATGATCCGATTTGGATGAAATTTGGTACAGTTCACTTATTTGGCCCAAGGACGAACCCTATTGAAATTGGAGAAAATCGATTCAGATTTAGATATAACTCCCATATATATTTTCGTCCGGTTTTTTGGTGAATGATACACCAAACTCCCAATATTTGTCCGATTTGGACAAAATTTTGCACAAAGTACTGAATCATATTCAGATTGATGTCCGCGAAGTTTTTTTTTTAAATCGGTTCAGATTTAGATATAGCTCCCATATATAGTTTCGTCCGATTTTTTGTGAATGATTTATATGATGATTATATATATATATATAAATGGAGCCAAAACAATGTATACTAACTCATCAGTTGAGAACGGCTAGACCGATTTGACTCTAAATTTCTTTCAGTTGTCGGTAATTACAGTGGGAAGGTTTTTATGAAAGAACATTTTGAGAAAAATCCGCGAAAATCTTGCAAAAATAATTTTAAGGAACGGCTGGACCGATTTGACTTAAAGTTTCTGTTAGTAGTCTGTAATTGAAGGGGAAATGTTTTAATGAAAGAACAATTTAAGAAAAATCCGCGAAAATTTTGCAAAATATATTTTGAAAGATATTAGCATTTCCACACGTTTTATATCGAACCTTTACGATTTCGTCTCTTCGTAGTTCTTTTTGGACATATTATGGGCGAAAATTGGCAGCGAATAATATCTTTTAGTAATCTATAATAGAGCGGAAACCACTAAATTTCTATGCCCAATCTAAAATTTTTCGAATTATATACTGATTTCAATATAAAAATCAAAAGGACAGTTGGACATGAACAAAATGATATTGTAATTAAGAATCCTTCAAAACGGGACAAATAAGATAATGTAAAAACGTTGGAGCATTAAAAAACAAGATCTTCAATTGACGAAAACATTTGAAGGAATAAGTTCTACCAAATTATAAACTGTAATGCGCGTGGGCCTGCTTTTTATTGACATAAACTTAGTGGCAAATGTTTTTTACCAACCTTATATTGATACAATATTGTTGAATATAGTGATTATAATGTGATTATAAAAAAAATGGTGTATGCAACGGTTACTCAATTAGGACCATGTGTTTATATAGCTCCCATACATAATTTGACTCGATTTCATACAAATGGTACACCAAAGAATCTAAGTCTCTCCGTTTGACATGCAATTTTTCATTGATTTCAGAATGGTATGTGTATGGGGTTTTTCAATTGGTTCAAATATTTATCCAGATAGCATATTTAATTTCGCCCGATTTCATCTCAATGGTCCTCCAAAGATTCTATGTCCGTTCTATCTACAGGATATTGTAGATATTAGCATGTCTTGAGTGTACCCAAAGTATTGAAGGGTATCATATATCCTTCACCACTTTGACAGTTGACGCGGTGGCTAGAAAACCTATTTAATAATTATTCCATTGGAATCGCGAATGTGACAACATAATCTATTTTGGATAAAATTCGCATATTATTCGCGTATCGCTGCATATCAGAGCATATTTTTTCGGGGATGTAAAATCAGTTACAGATGTAAAACCAGCTCCAAAAAAAGCAATTATATACGCGAAATTTTCAAAACACTATCTTACAAAAATTCCGTCCCGATAAGAGATAACAAATAATAATAAATCATTATTATTTGTTATCTCTTTTATAAAGATTTTGAATAGAACACTTCAATTTATAGGAATGTATTTATATAATACGGAATATTTTAATGTTTCTTGAGTTATGAGGTTCCGAACCTCACCTTCAAGGAATTTACAAGTTTTTTGAATATTTTTATATAGACATGAAATCGAAATCCGTTTGTTTACACGTCCTTTTCAACCCACTCCCCCAGACCATAACCGTTGTGTAGTAATTAGTTATTACAGATTTTCAGAAAATTAAATACCTCCTAAAAAGCAGTTTTCTATGTAAAGATTTAATTTCTCAGACCTTTTTGCAGAAAATGTTAAACATTGGGTTTTTAGATAATGAAATGTCTTTAATATTTTCTACATTATTTTTCAATCGCTGCTCGTTCTAGCCCCAATTTGGTCAACTTGTCAAAATTTGTTATGTTCATCAAATGGGACGAAATTATATAATATATGAATGTTTATGAGTTATGCATTTTTTACAAAAATTTATGAACCGCCAGACCAATGGTATAAAAATATGGATTCTCAAAATATTAGAAAAATTATCACAACATATAGCTACATTTGTTCGAATTTTCTCATGAAATGTTTTTCTAACAAGAATAAAATTAATATCGTTTTCAAATTTAATAATTTCATTTAGAAGTAAAAGGGTTGTATGAATTTAAAATGTGTACAGAAATTATTAAAATAAAAAAAACTTTAATAAAATGCCAACGAATTTTATTAATATTTTATTTCATCGTGGCATCTATATACTCAATAATTAAATTGTCATTATTAAATAATTGATATTAATTCTATTCAATTAATTAATTGATATATCAACAGAAATGCGATTTGGCTAGTCGACTACTAATTTCAGCTATATTTCCTTACAAGGGTCACATTTAAAAAAAAAAATTAACACAATTAAATATTTCAAAGGCATCGTTGAGATTCACAGTTTTCAGAATTATAGTCAAGGGTCGTTTTTCGTATACAATGCTTTTTTCATAATCTTATAGTATGCGTATAAACGAAGGTCGATTGCCATATAGAAATATAATTTAATACTGTCACCTTTAATTTCTTTTTAAGGTGATAGAAAACGTTTCAGACAACTATTGTGGAATTTAGTATTGCCGGATGAATCAAAACTAAAAATCTTTGAATTTTTTCGTAAATTTGGACAGACGCTAATGCCAGTAATTATTTTTCAAAAAGACTTCTTCTTTTTCGCATGTGAATAGACTCAATTGAAATCAGACAACCTATTCATATAGATAATCCGGTTAATATTACACTGAAAATGACTTAAAAATAAAATACAGTTCATCTTTTCAAGTTCCGTGAAATTATTGTCATGATATGACTATGTGTATTTTCCCCCATTACATTCTTTAATATGCATGACAATAACCAACTACTGACCACAACGATTTTCCAACATTGACAAATTAAAAGAGTTAAAGGTTATGTCAAAATGTTTCAAGTTTAACACTTAAACTCACATATGTACATATACTTATGGATAGTTTGACTTATGTACGTGCTTACATACATTATAAATGAGAAGCAGTATGCTTATAGGCCTACTTAAATTGTGGCAATACCCGTTCATACACACATCCACCCTCACACACATTCTAAGTAATATCAATTTAACCATTTTCGTATTACTATCATATTTCCGTACACAAGACATTAGAAAGCGCACATCCGTTCACAAACTGTCAATTAATTTTAATAATTACTATGATGTGGTTCACGGTGGTGGCGGTGGTGGTGGTCTAATGACTTTTACATTATTTAAAATTGTATGTCTAGGACTTACCTATCAAATTAGAATTTGTTAAATTTCCAAAAACTAAACGAAAACACTTTGGAGGATGGGCTCTTTTTAAATATTCATTAACGACTGACTATTTGCTGTTGAGTATACGCACCGCTGCACCATCGCTGAGGCTTCAACGAACGTATCAGCACATAAAAAGGATTGATTTGTGGAACATTGCTTCCATTCGGTGACTGCATCGAATATCAGTAACGTTAAGTGATGGCGCTGGATTTCCTCAAGTACACTTATCCTTTGAATAAACAGTATTTCCTGATTCCCCGCTTCACCCTACGTATCCTCGGCTTCTATCCGGAAACCGATTGGAACTTTTGGGTAAAATCGTGGGCTTTTTTCAACATTTCCATTCTTGCCTATGGCTGTTATGCCGAACTATTCTATGGCATACACTATTTGTCCATTGACATTGTCATGGCCTTGGATGCTTTGTGCCCGGTCGCTTCGAGCATCATGTCCTTCATTAAGATTTTTTTCATTTGGTGGTATCGTGAAGAGTACAAACAACTCATCGAAGAAGTCAGGCGTTTAACGGATGCCCAAAACACTCAGAGGAAACAGAAAATGAAACGTTGGTATTTTACAATTACAACACGACTAAACGCTTTGGTGTTATTTTTTGGATTCTGCTGCAGCACATCGTACAGCATACGTCCGATACTGACCAATATCCTATTGTACATGAATGGAAAAGATATTGTCTACGAAACACCATTTAAAATGATGTAAGTGTGATATTGTAAATGTTTCGAATAATAGCAAGAAAGGGGATCATTTTTAGATCATTATAACGTTTTCTTTTTATTTAGTTATGATGTGAAGTCATGCTGTAAGTTTGTGTGACCTCAAGGGTTTTGTTATATCTCCACAGTTAAGAGGTCCATTATAACCCGAACTTTACGAAGTCTTTATAGTTTTTTGGCATGGAAATTCCTGCATATTTGGTACGAAATCCAGGTTATTTCATTACGACCGATTGTGAAGAAAGTGCTAAAAATAGATCAGACGTTTTTAATATTTTGAAGTTTATATAGGACAGTAATTTATAAAAATGGGACCAAATTCTCACTTAATGTTGAAAATAACCAGTGAGGGGGTCTTTATCCAGAACGACACTCCGTTTATATCAGTAAAAACTATTGTAAAAATTGTATGCCATTCATTTGTACTAAAGTTTCAACATCAGTTGTTCCATATCTGTGTCTTATAAATAACAATAACCATGGATGAATTGATTAAATGAAATAAATTTATTGCAGACCAGAGTTGGTCCGTGTGACGAATTTTTATGTTTTCGACTGTCGAAAACGTCATATAAAACGTAATAAATGTAGTAATAGTTATTTATTCCAATATTACCACAATTTACAGTTATTTTCAAGAATATATATTATTTTTACATATATATGACTATTACTTACTAGAACTGAATACAAATCTAAACTTTTTTGAGAAGAACATTTTGAAATTTGATATGGATTTGAGTAAAACATACGTAATTCACAAACTGATTAATGGAAAAAGGTTTTTTTGTCAAAAACCTAATGGTTTTGGGTGGGTTTCCGGAGTTTCTAACGTATGTATTTCTTTTACGTCACTGTTTCTGACGGACCATCTCTGATGTAGACAGACAAGCATGTCTGCCCAGATCAACTTCTTGTGTACATTTTTGTGGTAATTCGAAACTGTAGTAGCATCCTTGAACTTATATATTAAAAAATTTCGGCTAATCCGTACAAAATGTTTATTAAAATACTAGCGGACCCGGCAAACGTTGTCTTGCCTTAGCAATATTCTTAGGGAATAATTTTTGGTGCTTTAGGATTCGGATTAAATTAAATTCTTTCATAATATGTTATACGACTTCCACATGACGGTAGACCAATGCTAAGTAAGCTGTCTACACCTTACCTTACCTATACCGTATGGCGAAGTGTATTTTAAATTTGTCATTCCCTTTGCAATACTGTATATGTATATATTATCGATGAGAATAATATTTAAAAAAGAGATTTGATTGATTGTTTGGTAAGGAATTGGGAGGTTCCTTCTTACTAAAAAATATTAATATTGACCCAAGTTTCAGCGTAACCTCACATATAACGGTACCCCAATATTCGGCATTTTGGGTTGTAGGTCACGTTTTTTAACAGAATCTTCTGTATTTTGGTACTTTGAGTTTGCATTGTGTAGCAAATCTCCATACCAAAAAGAGCGACATCGACCCACATTTTATTGTATACCACATATAACGGTAGTCCCTATTATTTCGTAATTTGGGGTGTTTGGCTAATTCGGCTATAATTTAATATTTTGAATTCTCATATGGTAGCAAATCTTCTTACCTACATTTATATGGATTTATTATATTATATTGGTTCAATTTTTAAGATATCCCCCATATAACAGTACTCCCATTTGTGTTTGGGAGTTTAGGCACGTTTTAATCCAATATGATGTAATTTGATACATTGAGTTGTCATTTGGGTAACAAACCTCCTTACCAAAAGTTATCGTAATTGACATGTAAAATATGTATATATTGGCAAAACATATGCAGACAGAATTTTATTCTAATCAAGAGATGATGCAACCTGAACGCAGAATACCCAATGCATAGGCATAATATCAAATGTGAATGATATACCAAAACCTACGTACAAAACATTTATTATGACATAGAGGCTCATGATGATGTGACAATTAAATTACAAACACGCCAACATGTCAAATACCGATATACTGAGGTCATCCAATAAAAACATATTTAATATTAGGCTACCGTTATCAGAAAGACTTATAAACAAATTTGAGAAAACATTTCATTAAACCAGTATCATGTAATATTCTCTTGATGTCTAACAGATGTGTGATTTTATTGTACGGAAATTTTAGAACGAAAAAAAACATTTGGAGGATCGTTAATGGCACCGGTATATTCTTCACATTAGATATTACGCCTATTATGCATTTTTATTTCTGTTTTATAGTTAGTTGATCTCATTCGAGTTTAATAGCCGAATTTTGCAATGAAAAGTTATGTAAGGTAATTCAAAATGACTTCTTATATTAGTTTTCTTTGTGATTCATATTTCCCATGACATAGCAACACTTCAGGTAATTAAAGCGACAACATGAATTTGTCCGAAAATTTACTTGAATTCTATAGAAAACGCGTACGTACAATGATCGCGTGTACATTCAATGACATTTCATTTTTTCCGTATTCTCACATAAAATATTTTCAATACAATGTCAATCGAATTGAAAAAAAATATTTTTTTTTTGAAAATTTACAATAATTGACAAATGAAGGCTTAAAAGATTGATACCAAGGTAGATGTATTAGGTAGTCGCATCGACCCAGTCGATTGTAACATTGAATGTCAAAACAAATTGTTATAATTTTTAATTCGCCTTAAAAAATTAATTAATTTTTGTAACCAAAATATCTAAAAATGAACAGAAGTTTTATATGAGGGCTACACCAAAACTGGAAAGAATTTCGTGAAAGGTGTTTTAATTTACAAGAAATGATTCAACCAATCAGAACAAAATGTTTGTATACTCTACACATCTATGTTAACAGTATGGATTGCCTCAAGAGTTTGTAGATGTACGACTCATTTCTTGTAGTTTGTCCAGTAACATGCCCAAGCTACAAGAAATGAGGCTGAACGAAAGGGCTGTGACAAATGGAATATACACTCCACTTTATGATGGAGGGAGTAAACATTTGAAAATTGACACTATATGGAACATCTCCACATGAACATGAACTATGAACATGAACTATATATATGGTATATGAACTAAGGATTTTGATTCATCACCATTTGTAACATCTTTGAGCTTTATGCGGCCTTATAGCGATCGGCCCGATATTGGAGTGTAAATACCACCTCTGTGTACATACATTAATACAATTGCAGTCTTTAATCTATATCTTTCAGAACATACAATTCAAAGTTAGCGATTTTTCAAATAAAATCTATTTGACGCCCTAAATATTGAACGATTATTGTGAAAACAGTTATATTAATTCGTAGGCCAGATCCCCATCTCCGTAATTTCCTGGGTTTGGGTCATAATTGTGGTCTCTAAACATAAACCGGACACTACCAAAACCAATAGAAGTAGACTTATGCCAGAACCGTATATACATACAATATTTCCAGAATTCATCAAGGGAAATTATTGAAAGATGCCGACACATACTGAATCGTTAATTCAAAATAGTGTTGATGTTGTGTTTTCAGAAGATAATTTTTTCAATCAAATTATAATGGACAGACGGACATATGTTAAACGATATACAAAAATTTGAGTCTACGAGTAGTGCAGCTACAAACTCTTGAGGCAACACATAGTTTTAACATAGATGTGTAGGGTATTAAAACATTTTGTTCTGATTGGTTGAATCAAATTTGCCTAAATTTTGAAATGTCAAGGCGAATTGAATTTTATTTGCCTTGTTTACAAATTTTGACATATTATGTTCTCAAAAAAGTTGCTTTGTTGTAGTAATTCGCCGATGCGACTACCTAATATATGTGCATTGATTGATACGCTACCAATTTTCGCCCAAACTATCTCCTAATAAAATAGCGTGATACTAGATGCGTGGGAATGCTAATATGCTTCATAATTTTTTGCAAATTTTTCGCGATTTTCGTTAGATTCTAGTCTACTTCGCGAAATAGCTCTGTTCTTAGCCTGTTGTATTTTAATTCAATATTTTCGTTTCTTGCCTGCTAGTTTTGTCAAAAAAAGGATTTTGCAAAACCAATATTTTGCAATTTTTTTATTGCTAAACCTTCCGGTTAACAATGCGAATACAAAACAACAGGAATTATTAAAATCCGATGAACCGTTCTCTAGTTTTTAGCAGACAACGCACATCATTTCATTTTTATATACATATGTATGTATGTATATAAGAGATTAGGGATTTGTCTTGCCTTGCTCTCTAAATAATGTTATTCCATTGATTTTTAATAGATTTCCTGACTCCCTGCTCTCTATGCCTCTATATCCGTTGACATTTCTTTTGGTTCACTGGCACGGCTACATAACTGTTCTTGGATTTGTCGCAGGAGATGGTATGTTTTTGGGCTTTTGTTTCTACTTTTCGACTCTGCTAAAAGCCTTGCAGCAGGATTTGGTGGATGTTTTGACGATAACTGATGGTAAGTATTCGAACACGACATGTCTTAGCATACGGTTTGAATTCATTTTCAAACCAAAGTGGCTGTAAATGGAAATTCCGAGTTTTTGGAGGTCGAAACACATTTTTGAACAAAATTTTAGTATAGGTCCATGTTTTGATACAGACACAACGTAACGTTATCATGACATTTTTGTTATTTTTCACAACAGAAAGGAAAGTAATTTAGCATTCTGTTGTTGAAAAACATCTTTGCTGAAAATATTAAATTTAATTCTATGTTTCGCAGAAAATTGTGAGTATAGGTACATGTTTTGACATAGCGCCAATGTAAAAGTTTCGTCTATTTTAGGTGCTTTAATGAACAAAAATGGATTATCCAACAGATCTGGCTGTAATTTGTCATACCGTGATTTTGTTGAGTACAACACTTTTAGCATGTTCTGAAATAGCATTATATACAGGCCAAGTCTATTTTGGGCATATTGATGACTCCAGCATCATTTTACAAAAAATGATTCTAAGTATACAATACAATAGGTATTTAGAAACTATGGGCATGACGGTACATACAAATACACAATGACATTGTAACCTGTACCACAATGCTATAAGGGGTAAAAACACGGCTATAATCAGATCGGACATTTTAGGTCAAATATAGAATTTCATGGTAATAAATATTCCGTTTTGCAATAAAGATTTTAAGTTTTTATGAAATTAAAGAAAAAAAAAACAATATCGGGTTCCCCTAGCAATTGAATGGCTGATAAAATAATATTTTATTATATTTCATAAAATCTAAGATCACTGCTTGTATATTCCCTTTCCATAAACTTTGCTTCTTTATTAAGAATATTATTTAACACATTTTCAGATCATGATACTAAAAATCATCCCAGACGATCGGAATCTCAGATTTGTTCATCTTTAGCAAATATAATTAGTCGTCATAATGAAATCGCCGACCTAACAATAAAGCTTTCTAAGATTATGGTGGAAATCACTCTCTGTCATTTTATTACATCCAGTGTGATTATTGGAACCAGTGTTATTGACTTACTTCTAGTGAGTATTCGAATGCAACACATTTCGATAATGTGACACATATATACGCCTATACATACATACATAAAATGTCTTCTCTATAGTTTGCAGGTGGTTACGGTTCCATTGTTTACATTGTGTACACCTGCGCTGTCTTATCGGAAATATTTCTATACTGTCTTGGCGGGACGGCTGTAATTGAAAGTGTAAGTAATTTTGCGGATTTCATATTTGACGAATCAACCAACTAATTTCCTACTTCCCTAGAGCCAAGAATTGGCAGTGAAAGCGTACACAAGCAATTGGTATGGCCACAGTGTTAAAATTCAGAAAATGGTTCTGCTCATTATTGTTCGATCTCAAAGACACTTTGTTGTTAAGGTACCGTTTTTTATGCCATCTCTACCCGCATTGACAGCAGTAAGTATGAATCTATCATTCAATGCAATATTGTTGTTTGATTTGTGTTTTGAAATTTCAGATTCTAAGATTTACCGGATCAGTGGTTGCTCTGGCAAAATCAGTTATATAATTCACCAAAGTGTTTGGATAACATTATTAGCACCTTAGAATCGAATTAGAATGGTTAATACATTGTTATATTATTTGCACATAAAATTATATTTATTAAAAAAAACATAAAGTAGACCTGCACATCCAATATATTTGTTTTAATTATATAAGATAATGAACCTCACCAATGCCACATTAGCCGCCAAAGGATTATTAACAAAAATCGATTTAAAAATACTAAATTTAAACATTATTCCTTAAAATGTTAGTGTTTCATTGTAAACATTTTTGTGTCCGCATTCCAAAAAAATGTCAAATTGAACACTAAATTATGATACGCTAAATTACAAACAACACGCGCACGTAAAGCTTCATTTACACGATTGAAGGTTTCTTCAAAATGCTTCAAACTCGCGTACACAGGTAAATTTCTTCAAAGTTTATTGATCTAAATTTATTGAACAAAACTTTTGAAGATTTTATTGATGCCGTGTAAATAGGCATCAAAATCGCATCTGGCAATATTGATGACTAGAAATATTTTGACAACATGTTCATTCTGTTGATCAATACATATCATATGTTTTTATTTACACATTTTTGTTGCGGCAAGTGACAATGAAAATTAATCACTTACGAATTAAATTATAATTAATAAATTAATATGAGATGGTGAGAGAACGTCAGACTTGCATAGCTGTCCCCAGTCGCTAAAAATTTCAATGTTACTGTCAGGCGTTCTCCGGGGCATATAGATTCCCTAATATTAGTATTGGTCTTTTCTATTAATGGGGTGACTATTTCAAGCAAAAAATCAAAATCGTCGAGTAAAGTTTTTGTATAGTTCGGGATCATTCCGTTTTAATCGCTCCCTAAAAGAAACATGCACACCATTACCTTTCAAAAGAAAAGGCCGAAACCAATGTTGCTTTTGGTTTCTTCTTTTTTTCCATTGTTATCAGCTTCTTCTTCCTCCAATATTAACAAATGCTGATGATCATGTCGTCGTTCATAGTTATTAATACTAAACTATTTTTCAAAATAATCAAAAGAGCTGTTCAAAGTCAATATTTTCAATATAAAAAATTACCAATAGTGTAAATTAGCTTCAAAACATTTTGATCAAAAATTTTGAAATATATTGAAAGAATATTTTGATAAAATTTTTGAAACGTGTAAATAGGACTTAAAAATACATTTTCAAAATTTTGATAAAACTTCAAAATGCCTTCAATAGTGTAAATGTAGCTTAACCCTTTGAGCCCCGATTTTTTTCCGTAATTATAGAACAATTTTCTGTTCCCAGATTTAATGCAACTATCCTAGATAGGATATGGACAAAATTTGACATCGCTACATACTTGCATTCGGGAGATACAGTACATTCTTTCTGAAAAATAAAAGGCCAATATCAAGAAAACCAAATGCAAAATCGACGAAAAAATAATTTTAAATTATTCTCAATATTCTGTTTTACAAGAATCAAAAATAATTCTGATGACAGAATTCGTACATTTCGAATACGAAGCGATTTAAATAATTTGAACTGTATGCAAAAATTAGTACTGTACACATTTTTGCCCTCTTCTCTGTACTAAAAAGCTCATAACTTTACCAAAAATTTGAATTTTTTAGATTTTTCTCGTGATATGTGTCGTCCATAATCTGGTCTTGACATAGGGAATCCAAAGAATGCATATCTACTAACTGTATAATAAATATAAGCTCTAAAACATTTTGTTGCCTGTGGGCAACATTGGGCCACAGAGGGTTAAAGGAAAAATCAGTGGAAACCGCATGAGGTGGTACACAACATTGAAAGCACATTCGAATAAAAAATGCATCCTTTAGCTGTATTCATTGTTATCAATGGGGCTTTTAATAATGTCGACGCTGAAACACTTATCAAATCCTTAGAGATATTTCAAGTTGACCAGACAATCATAGCCTGGGTCAGCCACATGCTGAGGAATAGATGGATTCACTGTTGCCTAGAAGTCATAAGTATATCCAGACATGACGGAGATATGTCTCTTCACTAGAATGACAAAAATCAAAAAAAGTGATAAACATATCAAATAAATTTAAATATTTGGGAGTCATGGAAAGGTCACATATAGCAACGAGTAGACAAATGGTAATCCTAAGATGATACATTGACAGTGCATTGTCACAGCAATGGACAAACATTCTGCCTAGGTATATGAACATATCTCTTTATGCATAATAGGTTCACGTGCAAAAAAATTATCACGGCATATCTCCGAACTTTATCCTATGGCGAAATTTTCCTTCCGCTGTTTTCATATACTCACTAAAGTGACTCCAAAAGGATTTTTCCCAAGACTATGACCACGATTTTGGTTCACAGTGTTATCGATTGAATTCAGTATTTCGAAAAGAATTTTCCTAGAGAATCGATATACTGTATATTAAAAGGAACTAGAATTATTAATATCGAACAAAAATTAACAAAATTTGCTGTTGCCGTCACTTGATGCTAATATTCCAGAGTTATTGATTCCACTTGAAATTTTAAAGGGGCATTCTTGATTTATCATTCAATAGAGTTATAAATGTTTATGTGTTTTAGAGCGAAAAAAAGACTTAAATTTTCTATTTCATTAAAAACTTTTTTTTTAATTTAATGTCAAGTGAGATTAAGTTTGCTTACTTAAAAATAAAAAAGAAAATGTTAAAAGTTATATCCAAATGTTTTTAGTTTGTGTAACGACAGCATAATAATCTTTATTTCCAATGTGTAAAACTGATATGTATAAACTGTTTAAACAATATTTACACGTACATATCTTCATGCTTCTGTCTGTGTCCGATTAAAAAAAATCTTGGCGTGTGAAATCAAACAACGTTCCAAATTCCTTTAAACACAATCCGAATCCCGAATGTTTTTCCATCTCGGTTCTTTGAAGTAGTGTTCGATGTTTATGTGCCAGTCCTTGAAATACTTTGCAAGTGATTTCACTTTTGTTTCTCTATTTGGTGTTGTGCGAGTCTTCTGCCTCATTGAAAACGTTTCGCACATGTTGGCACTACAAGTATGAGAAAACATACATAGATCATCTTCAATAACGACTTGTTTTGTTTTGCAATTTTATGACCTTCTTTTTGCCGCTCATCAACTTTTATTCGAGTGTGAGTGTGTGGCACAGCGAACGTAACAGTGGCGTAAATGTAGACTTCTTGTAGAAAGTAGTGAATCTAAGACTTTTAAATCATTTCCTAGGAATGTGGCAAATAATTTGTTGTTTTGCATTCTAGAAATATTACATTAGAAGATATAACAAAAACATTTCCATAACAATGTTTCAATGTGGATAATTTGTGTGATTTTGAAATGTTTAGAATATTAATAACGTCATGTAATACAATTATCATGTTCATATTTGGTACTCTACTTAATCAAATTGTTGGCAATGCAGTCGCCTGCGATCATAAGATCTGCAAACATACAATATGCCTGCCGATTTTTTACTTGCATGCAATTAGTTATGCTAGTAACTACGATTTACTGGAAATCTCCTGAATTGGCCACCGAGTCATTAATCTAAAGTTGCATAAATGCACTATCTGCCATAATTACATTCATATTTTGTATTAAAGAGTAATCCTCATCTTTGCCGTTAATAGTTTTTCCTTCGTCTAGTTTAGTAGTGGAGAGTATTTGCAGAGGATTTGTTATTCGTGTTCGACTGATATGTCATTCTGCCTGCATATTCATAAATATGTATGTTTGTGTATATGTAAGTATGACAAACATTGATATTCAAGTTTGTTGTATTACTTTGTAATATTACACATACATATTCATGTGTTTACATACCAGAGTATGTACGTACATTCATCCGGCATAGTAATGACTATTGTTGTGTGATTTTTTCCTCTCTCCTACTTATTTCAAATATGATATTGTTGTGTTTTATCCTTACGCAGATATGTATATACATATATTTCTTTTGCTAGGAAGTGCACACATTACAGTATCCTGTTTGTTATTTTTAGAATAAATGATGTTTGTAGTTTCATTGAACACTTCTCGCTCAGCAGTTCTGGGCAAAGTGCGGTTTCTTTGGGTTTTGCAATGTGGGTCATCGGTTGAATAAAATGTTGATGTCGCTCATTGAAGATGGTTTACGAGCAAAAAGCTCCAGCAGTGGCCCTTAGCAATGACACGTGTGTCTGTGTGCACAAATGGATTGGAATGTATTGCACGGCTGTAAAAAAACCGACGTTGCTTGGCATATGTTCGTGCTCTAGTTTGTATTTGCTAAAACATTGTAAGCATAAATGTATTTGTTAAAATCCATTTTATTTGTAAAACAATTCTTAACCAATGTTTTGGTATATTCAACTAAGCTCGACGGGAAGCAAAAATACTCTACATTTGTTGGAAATGTTTAATTTTAAGTACAGTAAATTATTAATGCAAAAATATGAATTTTAAAATAATAAATACAATTTTACTAAAATAGATAAAGTTTTGTGTGCAGAAAAACTACCCCGATAAGGAAAGCATTCACTGCTTATAACACTAACTAAAAAAATACTCATACTAATATATGAAATTTTATGAAGAACAATTTATACATTGACAACATTCTTTTTCAGAGAATAAGAAAAAGTGCGAAATTTGATCAAAATAGAAAATTTGCTGTAGGGGAGACTGGGGCACATTCGCCAATCGCGTTTTCGATATGAGGCTCTCACCGTACATCACTAGCTTCGATATATAGGTATCGAATATCAAAATAAATAAATGTCGCAATGTTTGGAATCTCTAGATAATAAACTTATTTAGATGCACGATTTTTTGTATTTCTATAGATGTTTTCGTAATATTTCCAACCCATTTCGTAAGAATTTCGTGTATAAAACTTTTTTATGGCGGTATTATTAAAAAGTTGTTAATTACAATGTGTATTTATATAAAAATATAAGATTAGAAGATTGATAAAAAAGAAACAAAAAAAAGGTACTTTCGGGATAGATTCGGCAGTTGAA